GCATGCATGCATGCATGCATGCATACATACATACATACATACATGCATGAATACGTCAATGTGTGTACTCATATTCACACACACATATATACAACTATATATGTTCATCCAGTCATGTACATACATACAGCCATGCATACATACATAAATGCATGCATGCATACACACATACAAACAAACAGGAGACAACCAAACCACCAATCATACATACACACACATTCATGCATGCATGCATGCATACATACATAAATGTATACAAACATACATGTATACAGGCAGACGGCAAAAAAAATACATAATAAAAAAGGGATACATTCATACATACATACACACACGCATACATACATACATACATACATACATACATACATGCATGCATGCATGCATGCATGCATGCATACATGCATACACACATGCATTACACTTCACCACGCTACACTACATTACAGTACATTACATTACACGGATGCAAGCAGGCATGGATACACATACATACAGACAAGGATACATACACACATGCATGCATACATACGTAAGTACACACGGACCTACCTGCCGACCCACCTTCATACATACATGCATGCATACATGCAGACACAAGTACCTGATACATACATATATACTTAGGTACCTGCATGCATTAATGCAGACATGCATACATACATGCATGCATGCAGACAGGCGGACAGAGTGACCAACATACATGTACATACATACACACATATATATACACACACATACACATACGCACACACAGACATACATACATATACATCTACATGCATACATCTATGCATACATACGCGCATGCATACATACATGCATGCGTAACTATATTCAGTCATTCGTACAGACATACATATATGCATACACACATAAATACATACAGCTAGATATTGGTATTGTTATAGATATGTACTCCTATTATCATATTCTTATTACCCGGAAACCCCACCACCACCACCACCACCCTAAACCGGACCACCACCACCAAAACACCCCAAACGCCCTTTCCCTCCACCCAACGAACGCCTTGGACGCCCTTTCGGAGTCCCGGCGGCCTTCCGGGCAGTTGGACGCCCCTGCCGATCGGAGCCCACGGGCCCAAAACGGGCCCCAAGACGGCCCATCAGCGCTCAAAGAGGACCACTATGGTTTCAAGACGGCCACGAGGCCCCTAAGACGGGCTAAGAGGCCCCAAAAGGGACCCCCAAGAGCCAAAATCGTCCTATTCCCGGAGAAAACGTACGCTTTTGAAGATATTAGCTTTTTCCGCTTTCACGGCGTCCACGGCATCCCCAGAGACTCTCAACATCGCCCCAGGACGGCCTCCGAAGCCTCTATGAGCGGCCCAAGGCGGCCCAAAAGAGCTCCAAGACGGATCAAGAGAAGCCTAAGGCGGCCCAAGGGCCCCAGAGGGCCCCGAGAACTCCCAAGAGAGCCCCAAGAGAGCAGCAGGAGGCCCCCAAGAGTGTCCCAAGAGGGCCCCCGAAAAGCCCCTGGCCGGCCTGGCCTCCCAAAACGGCCCAAAAGAGGTTCTGGGACGGCCCCAAAAAGAGTCCTTTGGTCCGGAGAGCCACCAGGAGCTCAAACGCGAGCCCACACCGTTCCAATATAGCTTCCAGCAGTTCTCTTACACTCCACGAGGCCGTAGTTCGCAGGACGGTGGTTCGAAAGGACCTCAGAAGCCCCACAAGCGTCCAGGACCCCTCCAGGCACTCAGGAAGCGACCAATCGTCGTCGCCGCCGTCGTCGTCGTCGTCCTACGGAGGAGCAGGAGGTCTCGGCCTGTCATCGCGGGCTGCCGCCTCATTGTTGCGTAGCCCGCTTACTGACGCCCCGAGCGCTCGCTCCCGCGGCCTGCCCGAGAGGAGGAGCAGGAGGAGCAGGAGGAGGGCAAGTTTCTGAGCGCTTCTGGTCCCATCGGCAGCTTCCAGACGCCCTCGAGAGACCTCCAGTTCAGACGAGAGCCCCATCGTCGTCGTCGTCGTCGTTGTCGTCGGCGTCGTCGTCGTCGTGGTGGTGGTTGTGGTGGTGGTGGTGCTGGTGGCGGTGGTCCTCGTGATCGTGGTCGTATTCGTGGTCTCAACGCCACCTCTGCTGCAACACGCGATGACTTATTGCTTTTCCGAGAAGCGTCCGGAACAAGGCGCATAGCGCGAAGCGCCAATGCAGTCTTGCACTTATATATATTATATTATATAATATAATATAATACAATATACTATAATATGATACGATATAATATAATATAATATGACATAATATAATATACTATAACATAATATGATATAATATAATAGAATGAAATATAACATGATATAATATAATATAGTATAATATAGTATAATATAATATAATATAATATAATATTATATTAATATATATTATAATATATTATATTATATCATATTATATTAATATAATATACTATAACTAAATATGATATAATATAATATAATATAATATAATATGCTATAATATGATATAATAAGATGAAATATAATACAATATTATATAAAATAACATAACATAATATAATATAATAAAATATAAAGAATATAGTATGCTATAATATAATACAATATATTATAA